GGCACGTAATGTAGGTCATGGTTCATAGTTATGGAAGAAAAGGATAAATAAGCCCAAACAAGTATTTCAGGGTATTGAACCAATAATCAATTCATTCTGATTTTTTCAATCATGTTTTGCTCAGTTTGAATCTACTTGTATGTCTCTCTCTCTTGATGTTCTATGATCTTCGAATGAAGTGATTCTGGAATAATTATGCTTGATCAATCTCATAGTTTGAAGCTTGATGCGCCATTTGACTCAAGGGAATCTTTACATGTTCTTCTTGATCATTTTTATTTGTTATTTCTTTTTATTCTTTTCCATTGCTTTTTTGTTTCTTTTTTTTTCCTTTATGCTCTTTATTCTGATTGGATTTTCGCACTTGGCACTTGATTCACCTTTTGATATCTCATCTGGATTGATGTCTTCACTCATGTGAGCATATTTCTTCCACCTTGCCCCCCAGTGTGGGGGTGATCCTTGATTAGGGTTGAATCAGAAGAAAAAAATACTATAGGCTCAAAAGGGGACAACAAAGGATATGTATATACATATATGGATAAATGAAACAAATTCGTTCATAATCTCATACACAAAAGTCATCGCAGAAGAGGTATCCCCAGGGGATAGATTTTCAGGATTAATTCTATTCACATGAAAAAATATAATTAATGCATGATAGAATTATTTCAAATTAATTCTCATTTTATGCTTCTTGCTCCCAGCACACCTCAATTGTACAAGCTCATCTTCAGAAAATTGATGCGAGATGCCCCAAGTTGTGTTTTCTAGTAAGAAGGTTCATGTTCTAGTGAACATCTTGTACTCAATGCCTTAGGTTTTATTAGTATAAAGATGTCAGTGTTGAGTCTAAAAAGACAATAGTGTGAATTTATTGACTCAAAGGTATCAGTATGACTCTCCATGGATTATTCTGGGTAAATAATTGAGGGATTTTTTTTTTTGCTTTTTGTTTTTTTTGGAACATGATAAGAAAGGTTTGATCTTGCCATATGTCAAAAAACTATAATTCTTGAAGAATTAAAAGAATCCTTAATTCATTTAATATTCGAAGAACTAAAGATTAAAATTTGCTTAATTATTTCACCTTAGAAGTAGCATAAATTTAGTCGTTTATAAGATTAAACAAACATGAAAGATCAAAAATGTATTTAAACAAAACAATGCTCTCAGTACAAATGGTAGATGTAATGCCCCCTTCTTTGATTGTTCATGCCCCTGAATCCATCAAGTTTTGAATCTTGACTTCAGTGCCTTACATTTCTCAGAGGAATGTCTGGAGCTTCCTATGTGGTAATTGTACACATCTTCAACATTGTAGCCCTTAGGATATGGGGACTCTTTTCTCAAATCATCCTGTCAGGTTTGGCCCTACAATCAGTTGATCAGGCTCCCACTGTACTGATTTCAGTTTTTTTAATTGGCAAAATATTTCTTCCATGTGGTGTCACGTGATCGAATCCTCCATGAAAAAAATTATGTTTATGAAAATGCTTAAAAATGAAATATAGATGCAAAAATGCATGAAATGCTCGAGGCATTGATCCGAAAACATGCATGTTACTATAAATAATCCTTATTGCGGACAAAAATGTTTTATCTTTTAAGAGACAAAAATATCCTGACAGCTTCTGACATGTTGACTAGTCTTCTGCCTTCGTCTGTCACCAGTTGAATAACTTGTCGAACCACTCCGGCTTCTCTGGATGAACCGTGCAAATGTTGAGTTACTTTTTGTACTGGTCTAAGAAGTCTCGAATGACTACATCTCTGGCATTTATCTTTTGTTAAACATGTTCCCAACAAATACGTCATTTAAGCCCTCAATTGATAGGAATTATGTGAAGTTAATTTGTCTGCTTCTTGAATTCGTCAATAATGGTCTCTAATTTGGGCTATCGTTTTGCCATTGTTGTCTTTGAAAGGACTCCCAAGATCAGTAACCTTCATCTTGCCCCCACAACCTTTCCCAGAAAATTCTTCAAAGGTTGACTTTTGTTGTGCTTGATGTAGACCCGGTTCATTCTGATTTCCTCGTAATGCCGCAATGTAGTATACTCTTCGATTGTGGGCACCACGTCTTCTGGATTGAATGTGACACATAGTCGCCTTGACTGCCCTCTGCATTTTCATCTCTTGTATTACAACCCCTTTGTCTATTAATGCAAACTATTCATGTTTAACAAACACGTTTTTGTGGATCAACACCTCTTGCATTATGTTTTGACAATGCAAATGCAATGCAGAGAATAAAAAATGACACAAACAAAAGAAGGGAGATAAGTTAGTGTACTTAAATAAAAAGAAAGAGATCAGTTATACAAGTAACACAATCGGTACAGATAAATGTTATTCAAAGATGAATATAACACCTACTCATTCATGATATCTACCCGAGCATGCTTTTATTAGACAGTAATCCTACCCAAACATCCTTTCTACCCACAAATATGTATTTACAAGAAATTAATCCTAACCGCATGGTATCTAGTTCGCATGCTGTCATTCAACAAAATTTAAAGCAAAAGAAAAGGTTCAGAAATGCTCCTCCATTGTGTACACTTAATTTGGGTACCTACTGACGAACAGAGGTTCAGTGTAACTGTACCTATGGTGACCGTGCTACGGTTCACTATATGCATGGTTTCGGCTCTATGAGGAAAAGGTACTTGAATTGTCCTTGATGTCGGTGCCCCTTGGGCTGTTAAACCCTCGATCCTCACCCATTACAGGTTTCGAGCGCAACGAGTTCAATTCGAGATGATATATTCCCTTATGTCTATGCGGTGAATAAATTCACACGAAGACATAAGGTATATGAATCTCGAAGGTTACTTGCTAGGCCTATGCGGAGAATAAATTTTAACGAAGGCATCGCTTTCACCCCCACTTAAAAGGGTTCTAAGCCCGGGTATAGAGCTTATGTTATGTAAATGCCCGTGATGTGTGTGAGGAGGACCATTCAACCCTTTGACTCAAAACTAAAATGAAACCACTCGATAAAACTTGGACAGATCTAAAAGCAAAAAATCAAAATGTTAGTATAACAAAAAATGAAGCAATTACAAACTTCAATAAAAGGATCATAAGTTAACTAAATATTCGAACTCATAATTTCCACCAAACGACAATGTGTAAGCAACTTACAGCCTGACTCTCTAAAAAGTCCCCAGCAGAGTCGCCAAACTGTCATAATTGTTTTTAGGTGGAACAATGATTTATTACTTTAAAAACAGTTACGACTTTTAATTTTGGAAAATGCGTGATTTTGAATTAAATTGGATAAAATTGGATAGAGTCACAATCAACATTTGGGTTAGTTAGGTTGAATACCTAAAACGTCTTTTAAAAACAATTTTAAGAAAAATAGTTTTTTAAGACAAAAGTTGGTATGCGTTTACCAAAGATTCTATTAAAACGGGTTTGGGAGTCGGTTACACGTGGGGAATGATTAGCACCCCCACAGCGCCCAAAATTAGTACTGTTTCGCTTACACGTTATCGTAATGGTGGAAATCCTGAATCAAATATCAAGTTAAAATATGATTCATTTATTAAATATTAATAACTTGCTTCAAATTAATTAATTAAAGAAACTATTTATTTGAATAATAGATCTAGCAAAAATATGAACTTAAAGGATTAAAATGGTAAGACATAACTTAAAGACTAAAACAGTTAAAACAAAAATTTAAAGGACATAAATAATAAAAACAGAAACTTAAGTGACTAAAATAAAATAACAGAAGCTAAGTGTCAAAATCAGGAAAAATATATATTCATATGCTGGAATGAAAAACACACATAAAAGTTTAGGGATTAAACAGAAATTATACCAAAAATACATAACATGCATCATAAATGATTCGCCGGCCACCACCGCGTCACCACCGTCGACCGTCGTCGTGCCGCCGCGCCACCATCGTCACCAGTGGCCGATGGTTACCAAAGTTCACCGGGAAGTTCATCTTGGCCTCCTCATCTTAGATCTAGAATCGGTTTTGCGTGAATCGGCTTTGTTCGTCGTAAAAAGGCCAAAAACCGTTTGGATTTATTTTCTCTGATCTGCAATCGTCCGATTGTCCTGAATTTTGAGTATGTTGTTCGTGCTGGTCTCGCGCAACTTTTGACCGTTTGGGATGTTGATCGGAGATCCCGATCACCAGCAAGAAGCCAAAAGTTGTTCGGATTATTTTCTCCGATCCGTCGCCGTCCACCGTCCGATCGTCCTGAATTTTCAGTATATTGTTCGTGCTGGCCTTACGCAACTTTTGAGCGTTTTAAATGTTGATCGGAGATCCCGAAGAGAATCCGGAAGATTGAAGAAGTGTTGTTTTTTTTCTTCTCCCCGTATGACCTCCTTACGTTTTGCTCCCCGTCTCTCCTGTGTATCTAGCATATTACCCATATATCATAGGAAAATAATTATCATGAGTGGAGAAATAAAAAAATAGAAGAAAACGTGGAATGATGGCATAAATCATGGAGTAGTGGAAAAGTTGAGTGGGTTTTTATTTAATGCTTAGTGGATGATTTGGTGGATAGTGATATGGATGGAGATGTAGTGGTTGGTTTTAAATAATAATAATAATAAATAATACTAATAACAATAATATTAATAATAAAGATAATTATATTTAATAATATTTTTTCTTACAAAAGTAAACTCTGCGACAACAGTGTTATTCGATCGGCTATACTATATACCATCGGGCAGGCACGGCAGCTCCAAGAGCCCCAACCTCCCATCCGTCTTAAGTGATACCGTTTGCTTTCCGACGAACATAAATAAATCAACAAGGTGCTTTGAAACACTAAACTGTGGTGTTTTAAATCTGGACAGTCGTTAAAAATTAATTAACAGTTAGATTATTTATCTAAAATGGATTATCGAAGTTTTCAATTTATATAAACATACAAAATACAAATTCAATTTTTACCAGATACCTTAGCCTTATCATCTTTCACCAAGATTAAAAAAAATTATCCAACTATATACATCCAAATAATACAAATTCGATCAATCATACACTCGAAACACCGGCAGAAGACATTCCGTTTTCAAAAAAAAAGAAAGAAAACAAATAAAGCGGAAAACTACAACCAATGAAACATCTGTTTCAAACCACAAAGTCCTTTGTCACCATGCTAAGGTTGCATAAGCTTCCTGTTTAGACACATGCAGTAAGACTATGGTAGTAGCAACCTCTTCCCTATTTACACCATGCCTGCATTCATGGAAGAACAAAGACTCATTTGCGAAATTTGAATTTTTAATTTGAGCATAGGTTCGGGTTCGTCAAATATTTTCTAGTGCTAATTTGAAATCTATGGTATCCCTTTTCCTTTGTTTTTTTCCCTAGAATATGTCCATGACCAATACATATTTCGAAAATAACATTGAAGAGTATGATACTCCAAATCTTTGAAAAAATTTAGAAAATTTGAGCAAATTCATATTAGACACACACTCATATCCGGCATTCTTTCCCGAGTCTGAATAACTTAAAAAAATTCCAGATGAAACTAAAAAAAAAGCTGAGTATGTGGAATCAGTTCAAGCAAGCAGCAACATGCGTGTACAATCATCAAGGACAATGGGCTGGCGATATATATCTATCAGGCATGGCTTTGTTGGCTGTCTACACTTGGTGGTCGGAAGGCGTCAAAAATTAATGAAATCTACCAGGGCTTAAGGTTCAAGGTCACACAAGGAAGTTATACCATATCATCCCAAGTAAATTTCAATGCTTATTATTGTGCGAACAAACTAAACAACAATATGGGTTACCTGCATTTATTTTTTTGGTGAGCCACGCAGATCCATTTTCCAGTCAAGATGTATATGCAGGACAAAAACGTTGGCCACTATGAGCTTTTTATCACATCCGGTCAATCAAGGTCAGTGATCGGGGCTTTGATCTCATGATCGTTTCATCGCTGTGTTTGATCCATTCTGATAGTTTCCATGGCTTCTGCCACTTCCACCTGAATTGGAGTAGCCATTGGTGATGACTTCTCTTCCACCTCGAGAGTTTTCCAGTTTGACCCTTGGTTGTCAATTTCTTCATTGACAAATGTCCAACTGGTACCATCTGCATTGACGATATCTACTTTCTTGATCAAGCAGAAAGACATTAATCTAAAAGACCGCATGGATCAGATAATTTACCTTTCGTGTCAGATCTAGAAATGCTGCCGACTCTCTAATAGACCCATTAACAAACCCAGGTGTAAATTTCAGTTGCTTGGAGGCTGGGAGCGACACCGGTGAAAGGGGACCACTCAAATCATCTGCAAAGTGTTTAGATGAACTGCGAGAATTGCCCTGTCGAAATCCATTTTATTCGTAAAAAACAATGAGAAATTAATCCTTTAAAAAATAAAAAATAAAATGATAGAGAACTCTTTTTGTTGAATATTATCTATGGGAATGTAAAATAAAAATAAGGGGTTCATTACAAACTATGATGTTGTAGGATTCTTAACACCTGATTAATATCTAGTGTTATTAGTGAGTAATTTGAGTTGGTCGGGAGATGGTTAGCTATTCAGACATTACTAACAGATGAAGACATGAAATTATAGAAAGCTATTATTAATCAAAACCACCTTGGGATTTCATTATACATTACTAGGATGTTTTGCCTTGAAATCAGAATTTAATAATTGCAATCAATAGATCAGTTAATAAGGACGCAGTGTCTTGCAATAAGGTTTGAATGAGAGTGTATTAGCGTATTACATATTAAACGTAAAAAATAGGATGACTGCAGAGATGATAGTCTCACCGTAGCTGATGTAGCCAAGGCAATAGCAATAGCTTGCTCCCTCATCTTTTGCTCCTTCACAAGCTCCTTTTTCTGCGCCTCACTTTCCCATAATAGAGCTGTGAGATCCTTCAACTGCTGTTTGAGGTCCTTAATTTCCATATCTTTCTCCCGCGACTGGCACCTGTCCATACAGTTACCGCGGAAATTAACGTTCAAACTTGATCTCTATGCATCTTCATAACCCATAAAACAGAACCCCCAATTTTATAATCTTACAGTGACCTCAACCAAAAAAATAAAACGTAAAATGATTTGGGACTTAACAAAGATGGGCACGTTACTTCAAGTGTCAGACAACTAAATTCAGCAGTAGAAAGAGCAAGTTGAAAAGAAACTTTTCAGATTCTATTTGTATAAGCACCTTGATTCTGCAGTAGCATTAAACAAGTATTGAAGCAAGTTCTTTGCATCATTTATTGAGCGTACTTTATTCCACCGCCCACGACCGACCAAACCACGCTCCCTTTCTTCTGCCTCCGAGAGTTGTGAAGCCATCGCCGTCAATGCATTTGATGACATGCTAAGCATGTTCTCAAGGGAGGCTATTCTTTCCCTTCTTGCATTTGGTGACATAGATAACAATCTGCTTTTTGGAAATGAAAAAATTAAAAGGAAACCATAATTAAAAAGTAGAATAGAGATATGATCCCAGCATTACAACATACTTACAGAAAATGTTAAGAGAACGTACAGAATACAAAGAAATATGATCATAAGTACCTAGAATGTTGATTGTTTACTCTGTGAGGCATCCCACCAGTTGAAGACAACTGATCCACTTGTTTCAATAAGGTTAACTCCTCTGTCAAAGCAGTTTTCCTAAATAATGATTTAAATATCACTGTCAGAAAGCGTACAATGGATAAGAGAGCATAAGGTAAGCAAACTGATTGATACTTACACTTGGATCTGTTTCTCATATTCAAAACGAACTTCACGCACATTCACCATTACTTCTAGCTCATGATCAAGCCACCTTTGCACAGATTTTTCATTGCTCTAAAGATACAAAAATTAAATGAAAAGCGATAATATTAGCTATGCAGCTTAAGTTACACAAAATCAACACTAGCTCAAGGATGACTTAAAATTGTTTGTTCCTTTTGTGATCAGATGCAAAATAAATCAAACCAACCACTGGGTAAAATTTATTTAATCTGTATTTCCTATTTAAGTTCATTGAACATGTGGATTACAACCAAATTACTTTTTTAAACAGTAGTTTGAACTCCTGTCACTTCTGACCAGGAACCTAGCCAAAGTTACACTGATATATAAACATGCTGCTAGTTCATCGGGTACTATTAACCCAGACTAACAAATTTGCTCATGACAAAATGCATAATTACAAATCATTTACCTGTCCATTTGGTGTATGTCCATTGTGATTAACTGAAAGTGATAACAAACAATTAGTATATCATAGAAAGAACTAATAATAGATTAATTTCACAAGTACATATACCTGAGTTATCACGTATAGAAGACTTTCGTGCTTCTAACAACTCTTTCAGCCTTTTGGTAGCCATTGCTGCCTCTTCTGTTTTCCTTTGAAGAACCTGGAAGAAAAGGTTTGATTCTTGGTCACTTGGCAGATAAAACCTTGATAACCAAGTGTTGTAAAGAAGCCAGTGAAGCATGTCACAAAGTTAAACGTATAGGGGGAAAATCCCTCCGAAACTTGACTGATCAATCCTAAGAGTTCCAATGCTTTATACACAGAGATAATAAAACATGAAAGATTAATCATGCCTATCATGATTCTTACCATTTTTTGGCGTTGATTCAGGGCTTCGAGTTTATGTCTTTCAAACTCATTCCTCCTTCCCTCCTTTTTAAGCTGTTCAAGAAAGTAAAAGATCAAAATCGAAGTTAAAAGCATTACAGTATACAATAAAACATATGATACAAAAGGCAAGTATGACAAGTAGAAGCTACTTTCCAAACTTTGGGTCTATTACTAGGAAATTTATGGATAATAAAAATTCTTAGTGTCTATTACAAGTCACCAGGTCAGCAGAAAACATTTATGGACAGGAAGAATCTAATAAAATGTCCCTATTGAAGGTCCAAATAATGAAGTGCTTCATTGAAAGGCACAATAGATAATAAAATGTGTGGCAACATTATATGGGACTGAAGCACAATAGATACTATTGTGCCCTGTTCACCATAAACTTAAATAAAATCAAGAAAATAATAGTCAAGTTAATGCATCTCAGCTGCTTTATAGCTCAATTTTCTTATTCATCAAGCTCGTAATGGAAACACCTGTTTTTGAGGTACATACCCTTATGCATGAAAAGACATGTGAAAAGAAAGGAGAAAAGAAAGCTGGAACTAGATTATGTTACTCATAAAAAGTGACGCACCTGCAACAACTCCTTTTCACGATTGGCCTTCCATTGTCGAAATTGTTCTGCCTCTTGTTTTATCTTGTGCTGCAATTGAACCTGCAAATAAAAGAAGCATGTTTGCAAAAAGAATAAGATATTTTATGCCACAATGTGTGGATGTAAACATAAAAGTATCACTCAAGTAAAACGAACTTTTTGACCCTTAATGAACTGTATTTCTGCTTGCAACCGTTTTGCAGCGTCTTCACTTCTCTGCTTCTGCTTTAGGAGCTCAACCTGGTTTTCCTGTTTCTTCTTGAGATCAGAAATCTGAAACCAGAAAACGAAAAAAGTGGAAAAAATGTCAGAAATTAAAAATAATATTTGCTCAGAGAAGTATAATGATTGGGTATCATAATATATCATATTGTCACCTGTGCCTCAAGTGCTTTTAGTTTCTGCACATTGATCTCTTGTTCTTTTTGCATTTTTGAATCAGAATTAGCTACACGGTTCTCAACTGCAGCTAACAAACGATCTCTTTCTTGCTGTCATTGTGTTATATAAAATTAGCATGGAGCAAAAGGCATTATTAAGCAACAGAAATTGAAGGTATTATTACCTGCACAATTCTTTTTTCCTCCTCAAGTTCCGTGATTTTCTTCTGAAAGTGCTGCTTTAGTGCTTCAGTGTCAGCTCCTCCAACAAGTTTCATCTCAGACTGCACAGAGAAGATCAATTTAGATCCTGCAAGAACTCTACCAGAAGCATATAAATCTATTGTAGAAGATAGGAAAGAGTGTGTAAGAGATGCATGCTTAATGCTTCTTGAACAAAACAAATGCTTCTTAAAAAACTAATCATAAGACTGAATATGAAAATCTCTTCTGAACTCATGAACAATGCCCTTGTATCATGAAAAAGGATTCTCTTTCAAGCTTATATATATTTCATTAATTGGTAATTTATGTCTGAATGGAAAATCAAAAGCCAAAAAGGAAACCTCTTTCTGCTCCAAGCGTTTGTTCAACTCTTTCAATTCTCTATCCATGTTATTCTGCCAAACTGCATGCTCCAATTGTTTTGCTACTTCGTCAATTTCTTCTGGATTTTCATCTGCAGCAATCAGCAATATCCTATTACAAACAATACATCTTTATTTTTTATAAAGAAGAAGCATGTATCCAAAGGAATTTTGCATGTTGCAGAGTAACAAAGATGTTATCTGTTGCACCACTACTAACACAAGATGAGATTGAAAATAGTCTGTCATAGTAAAAGACTTCGTATTAGTTCAACATTATGTTATTCAACCAAATAAGTGAATAAGTGACTACCTGACAATACTTCATCCATTTTATAGTCTGATGAGTCCATACACTGAATGGCCCTCTTGTGTCCATCATTTTTCAAAAAACATGAATGGTCTTCCTGAGAGAGAGAAGAAAAAAATGGTTATATAACAACCAAGCTAGCAACTCTCAATTAAGAACATACTTTAATATGAAACAAATATGAGTTAACATATTCAATATTATCAAGGAATATGATCCAGTTCAAAGCATACTCTAACCATTTTGCAAAGAAACAGAAAAACAAGGAAAAGCAATTGTAAAAACCAACTTCATAATCCATCAACATACCTGAGCACCGGCATCACAACACTCTACCACAGCACGTTTGCTGCGGTAGTCATGAAGTTCTCGGTGAAGATTCTCATTAGTAGCCTCCAGCCAAGCAATCCTTTCTTTGAGACTCTGTAAAGAGATATTTTATGACCACTGTTTTAATATCTCCAAAGAAACAAATGATTTAGAAACCATTATGTGCATATATATATCAGTAAAAATACCTTTATATCTGAAGTAGGCCCTTCTCGAGAACAAAGTTCAGCTTGTAAATACTGCAGCTGGTGACGCATTTTTTGCATCTCACTGGATACTAAATCTCTATTAACCTGTAGAATAAACACAGACCTTTCAGTGATCATTTATGATCTAACAAAAATGATGCAATCCAGAACCTTTAAAGAAAACAAAAAGGGGAGCATGGACAATAATTCTTTTAACTTCAGACTATAAAGAACTCAAAACCAGAACAATGTTTTGAAGAAGCACATGTTAAGTAGTATAGGATAGAATTATAACAAATGGAGTCATAACAAAACATCCTAAGAAAACTTACAACAGGCTTATTCTGGATATTGCGAGCACGGTTAGCATATTTCAGGGTATTAAGACTTTCCTCTGCGTTGATGTCTGCAGGACTTATACAAGCTGGAAAAGAAAATCAACATTTCACAATGATAGATAGTGAGAGAATTAAGAATTTAAGCAACTAAAATCAAGATTTTGAGAAACAATCCCCAACATTTTAACAAAAGAAAGATACGAACTAGAGAGATCAAGAATGAAAAACACGATAACAAGAACCAGGAAGCTGAATACTAAAATATAGGTTTTTCAAGGGTATATGCATAAGCAACATGTGTGTATTGAGAATTCATCCAATGGCAGAGAAAAGATTCGTAACCCCAGAAAGATCTGAATTTGACCATTTCATTTTAGATTTCATTAACGATAGTAAGGTTGATAAATAGAAAACAATGATACTTGGTCAAACAAACAAGTAGAAAAGGGCAGAAGCCAAAGTAAGAAATAGCAGGAAGAAGATGAGTGCAGGACTTTTATGCATGCAAATCTATACAGCCTCTGCTTTTTGTTTCGGCCACCATGGTGTCAAACATACAGAATTTCTTCCTAAAAGCAAGGTTATATAGTATGCTTTGAGAATGATAAGATCCTATGGAGACTTTAGTTGTCATGTAAGCTTGAGGCTGAGGAAAAACTTCATACAAGGTAACTCGTAACTAGTGTATAGATTTCAAGTGTACCAATATCAGTTTTCTGGTGAAGAAACAAAATGGTATAGTTTTCTGCCAAGGAAAGAACATTGACCATTATAAATCAACCATTTCGAGATTTACCTATCATAACCGTTTTGCTGTTTCCACCAAGTGAATCCTGAGAAAGACATAAACCATACCAGATCAGAAAATAAAAAGGAATAAGAACAAGTTAAAAACTTATAGTTAATTTACCATTCCTAATTTAAGATCATGAACCAAAAGCCGATTACTGATGTATCAACTCCCACAGATAAGTGTCTAGCCGATTAAATATAATTGCAAAACAGAAAATAGAATGAGTGGATTGCATAGCTCTAATGCTTTACAAATAAATGTTACTAATATGTACACTGTCCACCAAGAGCATCTGATGTATACTAACTTCAGTTAGGCCGGATGGTCACATTAAATTGTGCGAGAATCTGTTCTTACTCATTTTAGGAGGTCCTCTTAAATATGTGTAAGAAATTGAGATAGGTAGGTATACTACAAAATTAACTTTGAAATCAGGCCACTTTTTGGTTATCTTAATGTCACTGGTTCAATTTACTGCCATATGAATCAACCCAAAATAAATCTAACCTGCAAGAGTCGAGTCAGTTTACTGTCTCGATAAGGAACGTGCACACCTTCTTTACGCTTTTTCTCATCCCCAAGAGCACTGATTACATTGCCGAGTGCAAGAAGCCCTCTGTTAATATGTATACCTGTTTATGAAAATAAAATGACCATTTAAAATCACCATCACACACAGGAAGCATGTATTTAAGTTTACAAACATATTTACAAACCTTCTTTCAACCGAAGACCATCAGAACCTGTTCTTTTAGCTCGTTCAGATCCAGCAAGATCTACCAAATGGAGCTTCGCACATAAAAACTCTTCACCCATATCTTCATCCGGAGTGTCATTGACAGCAGAAACTAATTGGATTTTGTGCATTTGTTCTAACGTGATCGTAAAGATGGCATGGGACCGACTATTAAAATCATGCAGAGTAGAACCACGCCTCGTTAAATTATGAACATTTGCAGATAGGTTACAAAATGAAAATAATTCAATTTTGGTGACTAGGAATGTAACTCAAAGCCACTTTACCTTAAAATTTGAGAAAAAAAACTTTTTTTAAAGCTAAAATTTGATATAGAAATCAAAACACACACAAAGAGCCATATAACTATTCAGGAATCAGCAACTAAAAAATCACCAATCACAAGAACACTCTGTAAATGCCATATTCTTAAGGAAAGTGACACGTCCTTTTACAAGTTATTGAGTATTTTAACCACAAATTGTTTAGCCTATTTGATCACTGACTGCACTTACAATCTTGTTTTGCAGTCGTATGATGCAGTCGTATGATGCAGTCGTATGACTGCTTCAGAAATTTGGAAGAAGTACAATTGTTATGCATTATAGCGTAGGTAACAATTACACAAGGTACCATCAGTCCTATCATCACAAATCTATAATGGCTCAATGGTGGTTCAAGTTTCTATAATAACTGCTTCCATCAACAAAGTAACATATTTCTTTCAAGTGTGAAGGGGACAACATCATGTAGAGATTTACCTGGACTGGTTATTCATATTTGTGCTCCCAGTTGCCCTGTTTACTGATCCTTGCTCCAGGCAAGCAGCCATGTCTTGTAGAGTACTGACTGCAACTTCAGTAGATCCAGCCAGTGTTATAATTCCATTTGATGATTCACGAATTTGTATGGGTGGTCTTCCAGGAACTGTGGCTTTCACGGCATTTCCATTAGGAGTAGCAGGTTTGCTTACAGGTTCAGAATCCAGTAAATCCCTCACTTCTTCCTTCAGGATCTTCATATTCAAACCGTAAAATTAGGTAAATCCTCAGAAATTATATGGTCCAACTATATTTTCAATTGTTAAAGATAAGATAACTCCATAATACAATTGAATACTCGAGCAGGTAAAAAGTAATGTACCTCTATGAATGAAACATGTAGCTGGAATTCTGTTTGATGCTTCAATGTTTCAATTTTCTTGAACAACGAGTTCATAACTTGAGGAATCAATCCTGTCTCGCTACCATCTTTGATGGCTGTTCCCATGGTATATGTTTTCCCAGATCCTGTCTGCAACAATTGCATAAATCAATCGAGAACATAAATACCAGGACATTCAAAAAGCTTATTTAACTGAGAGCAGGTATCACATATCAATGAGTAAATTTACCTGGCCATAAGCAAGTACAGTAGCATTGTATCCTTGGAATAAACCATCAACAAGAGGAGCAACGCATTCTTCAAACATAGAAGTTGGAGAAGCACCATTTCCATAAACATGGTCAAATGTAAAGGAATGTGTCCCAATTTGCACCTGCACCCAGAACCAAAAAAAAAAAGAATTATTCTTTGCTTCTCCTGAAATCAATTATATTTCATCAAAGGAAAAAAATATTTTAGGTAATATTATAAACCAAAAAAAAATATAATTCCATTAACGCTTTCAACTTTAGCGTGTTTTCTAGTTGCAAGCCTGCGAAAGTATTAAATACTGTGGAGCCAGTATACTTAAATATAAAAAATATTTAGCTGACATATATATATATATATATATAAAAGGGGTAAAGGAGTATACTTAAATATACTACTCAAAATACGCTTGAACTTTACCGGAGCCTTTTTCACTTAGGTAACTACAGTTTCAGGATAAATTTTAGTAACTTCACTCTTAGATTTTTCCGTACATGTATTTAAAAGGCATGATTTACTGACAGAATTCATCGTTCAATATCCATCTGTCTTGATAGGGGGTAAAAAGATTTCCAAAGAAATTATATTCAAGAGAAAATATGAAGAAAATCGTATGCTTGAAAATAGTTGAGATCGTTGAAGCAAATATATTAAAAATAAAAATAATTAGCAAAGCCGAAAACTGAAAATATTAAGTGTAATAATGCTGAAATTTAGCTAAAAAGAAACTCATGCATGCAATAGAAAAAATGCAAGAATGTAACAAAAAAAACTTACAGAAAAATATAAAACTTGGAACATAGTACCTGAGGCTTTCCTTTAGTAACAGTAACACATTCTTTACAACCTTGAGTTCGTTCATCGCCGATTAACGGCCTAATATGAACTGCTACTTTCACCGAGCAGTTCTCGGCTACCTCCATTTGTAACAACTCCAACAAAGGAAAAAAATCCGAAGCAAAATGCAGATGAAGAAACAGAAATCTGAGCTTCGTTTCCTTTTTCAATTTAATATCTCTGAAAACAGAGTAATCTCAACTGCAAGCTTAATGAGCTCGGATTAAGATTAAAGGAAAAGAAAAGAACGTGGCGGGGAGGGGAGGGGGCGGTGGCAAAGGTTATAACGAATTTGTTTGAAAATATAAACAAATTAGAAGAAAGAGAAACAGAAATGAAGAGATATGAAGACAGAGACAGTAACAACCGCTATCGATCTTTTCTTCTTCTTCACTGCTTCTAACTTCCACCGGTGAGCCTTTGTTTGGTTTAGTTGACATTAACAATATAATAACTCTTTGTTTTTCTTTTGTTTGTTACCAATGTGGCCCTTCGACCCCATCAGGCTCTGGCTCTCTTTTATACCGCCAAAAAGCAAAATGCCACAAACACACTTTTTATTTTATTGGATTTTTGTTAATTACCATCCTTTACTTTCAATGTAAATAAAATCATCATTTTTTGTTTGTTTTCGTTTCTTAATATATTCTAAAATTTTATTACTGCCGATGAGACATTGATACAAATTAAAAATAATCATTAAAATTATTTAAAAATTGACTTTTTATACTGATTTTTGTTAAACAGTTTGTATACAGTGGTTAAAAAATACTCTTAATGCATATTAAACCCACGATCTAGGAAAAATGAAAAGTATTAACTAAATTTTGTTTGTTTTCGTTTCTTAATATATTCTAAAATTTTATTACTGCCGATGAGACATTGATACAAATTAAAAATAATCATTAAAATTATTTAAAAATTGACTTTTTATACTGATTTTTGTTAAACAGTTTGTATACAGTGGTTAAAAAAATACTCTTAATGCATATTAAACCCACGATCTAGGAAAAATGAAAAGTATTAACTAAATCTTTTAACCACCTACTATAGAAATTGATAACTTTTGGTACTTAATTTTTAATACTTACAAAATGGATTTTAAAAAGTTATACGTGATTTTTTTATTTCGTGAATAATTATATTATGCCAATAAATAACTAAAAATTAGATACTCTCTTTAATTAAAAAATATTAATTGGAATGACACCTTACTAACAAATTATGTTCAATTAATTCCTAAAATTACTTGTGAATTATTTTCGATCACACGTTTATTTGTTTCTGATGTTGCATTAATAAGTGCCGATGAGGATCACACCATGACCACATAGATCATAGGTTGCTTAGATTTGTGTGTATGTGACAATAGCAAAACTGGTTTATCTGGATCAAAATTGAAGCCTCTTCGTACATTTTTTAGAGACAGGTTTAAGTGGATTATTTGAGTATAATAAACTAGGAAATTAGTTGAGATTTGAAGATAATTTAAGGAAAATACAAAAATATATATTTAATGTAAAATTAAAAAGTATAAGATAATAATTAACCTTAAAATGATTTTTTTACTTAACAGTTGGATGCATTTTGATACAAACGAATAATTATTAATTCAACATATTTTTTTAGAAAATATACTAAAACAATGTTGGAAAACTCTTAAAAAGTTTGATTAAACCAAATACTTAGTTGTATTTAAGTCAAATAATTAATAGTTAAATGAATTAGGTTTATAGGATTAAAAGATGCCACGTGATGTGTTTTCTTATAGAGAATAAACATGAAAACTTCTTATCAATTGGTTTGATACGTTGAACTGTTAATTCTTTTAAGTAAAGTTTAATATTACATATACAGAAAATTAGATTATACAGTGTTTGGGCTTCTTTGTTCCTCAAGGGCAATTCTCTCATCGTTAAAATACTTAAACTTGTTTGGACTGATCATGTATACAGTGTTTGGAAGGAAAGAAATAGCAAACTGTTTGGGAATAGAGCCAAATCAAAGCAAGAGTTGCTGGGAGATATCAAGGAGGCAATCCAATTACGGTTGGGAGGTAAATCCTTCAACACAGTTGATTCATTTAATATTGCCCTGTGTGCAAAGTGGGGCATTGCTTGAGTAGGTACTGTTCTTATTTTCTGCCTGGTTAGATGGCGATTGTACTATGCTTAGCTATGTAAATCAGCTGATTTTGTCTTTGTATACTGTAGTAGTTTTCTGCTTCTTGGGTAATGAAATTGAATTATCCAAAAAAATAGATTATAAGAATTTATTTTCACAATAAACATTTGTAACATCTGAATTAAACAATTAATTGATCATAAATAAAAAAAATGAGATGATTATGGACAAATTTTATATAAGATTATCCTCATTATTAGTTGCAATGTTGCAATAGTAATTACTTCAGCATTGCAACGTTGACACATATTAGGATTGGAAATAAAATTTATGAAAGTTAATCCAACATAAATCTCCTTTTCCCTCAAATTATCTAACAATTACAGTTTTATATTTTCTCTCATTGGTTCATTTCGTGGTACACTACTCATATTATATAAAAAATATATTTAACCTCTTTTAAAAGTTTTAAAATGAATTAAAAAAATTATTTTATTAAACAACTTGTTTAACTTCTTAAGTTACTCTTACTATTTTATTTAAATTATACAACTATAACAAAAACAAAACCAAAAATCCTTTTATATGTAATACAATGTCTCTAAATAAAACATACATTTTTTATGGGGAGCATGCACGTATACATGTCACATGGTATACAATTTTGGTTAAATGATCATTTATATAATTATAAAATTTCATACACAATTTAATTGATTAATTAATTATGTGAACTGAAACTTTACTAACAAAATAAATTTAATTCCGAAAATTACGGGTGAATTATTTTGGATCACAAAATTATATTTTCATTAATTTGTTTTTTCTTCTATTGAGCATTAATGAGTGCTAGGAAGGAGTGCACCCTGACCGCATAGATAAAAGGGTTGCTTACATTTGTGAGTATGTGACAATAGCGAGGTTCATTTATTTGGCTTAATGAGGTTTTATTTTTAACAATTTTTATTTAAAGGAAGGAAAATAAAAAGAAGTAGAGTTTTATTCTTAATAGTTATTGACCTCATAATATTTTAAGAGATGTTAATAAAAAAATTAATTATTTATTTTAAAGATTATTGACTAATTATTTTTTAAAAATGAATACTCAGGTCGAGGTTAATTTGTTTTATAATAAAGCTTTTTTAGCTCTTTAACAAAAGAGATGCCAACTAGGAATTAGGAAAAGGTTGTAGGGGTAATTTAAGAAAAGAATTAAAAAAAAAAAGGAATGGCTGAAAGCGCGGACGGTAAAGAAGTTGGCGGGAAGTATTAGAAGCAAAGGAGCGAAAGCGATGCCCCAAAAAACATAGTAATAAAATAATAATAATAATAATAATAATTACAGCATTAAGCAACGAACAGCTTCGGGCCCCTCCATCACATGCTATTTTTTATTTTTTTTGGATGGTCCCACTAAATTGCTTGTTCTTCTATTTTTATATTTTTTCTTATAAAATATTGTTTTTATATTTATATATAAATTTCAATAAATAATTATTTAATACACCTTGTAGTGAAATAAAAAAATGCAAGATTGTTTATAATGTTTTTATGTATAAAAATAAAAATTAAAAAAATATTCTATAAAAGATTATTAAACGGTCAAATCGATTAGTCTAGTCATTTTTTGAATTTAACTTAATTAATTAATATTTTATATAATTAATGAATCAATTAACTTGTATTTTTTCAATGATTTTAAAATATAATTGATTAAGTTAGTATGGTACTCAGTTGTGTTTTCCTTTCTGTTTTACTTGAAGCAAATTACATCAAACTAGTTGGATTTTATTTAACCATTCTAATGAAACACAGAGTATATATGGCAAAGTTCAAATGAAGAGAAGCGCTCAGGTACATAAATTGTATCACAATATACCTAATTTATTTGGGGTTAAATTTCACAAATAATTATTAAATTATCTTTAAACAAATTTGTAACCATCAAATTTTAAAAAAACAAAATAATTATTAATTATTTGACCTTGTTACAATATAGACACCATGTTGATTTTTTTATATATTAAGCTTTCAAGTATATAAATCGGACTTTCTAACTTTTTATTTTAGGTAAATTTCATAAATTAAATGTTTAGGCATCAAAACATGAAATTGATAAAAGATTTATATAAAAATCTTTTACTATTACATGTGTGATCATCTATTGATCAAATATATAATTTATATAAAATATTTTTATTTCACTTACATTATATGTGTTACATATTCTAATATAAACTAAATCGTTTACTAAAAAATGAATTTTATTTCTCAATTTTATTTTATATTGCTTAATTTTGATTGAAATTGAAAATAGATTAAATGTAGCCGCAAATGTATTAAAAATAATACTTGGATTAGATTAACATATTTTTCCAAATTTCCAATATCTTTAATTGAAATAAATGAAATATGAAAAGAATTAATAACAAGAAAAGAAAGAAAAATAGCAACCTCAAGGTTTTCCCTTTCAACACCTAACCTTCATTTTTATGCATTGGATTTCCCCTAATTATCAAATTGAACCGTTAGTTTGAATGCTATCCATCCAAGTAACCTCATCACATGGCCGTCCCCCCAATCAATCTCCGTTCACATTTGTTAGTTTTACCGACTTGACGGATGTTACAATTCAACATAAATCTAAGTGGGTTTTCTCCCTTTTTCAACAATTTAATTTGTTTTTCAAGATGAAATCATAAGAAGTTTTTAAAAGAAATGTAATTTTCATGAAGTTGAAAAGTCATTACCCAAATGACGAGTGCAACATCGAATGGCCGGCAAATAGAATTTGGATACTCTTTTCTTCTTACTAGGTTTAGAAGAGGTTTTTAATGAGGCCCATGAGTTTCATTAAAAAAATAATTTATCTTTAAAATCTCGTAATATTACTTGGGCATAATGATAAAATTATCCCCGATATTCACATAAATTAATAAATGATCATTTTATCCTCTCTTTTTTTCCCTAGTATTTTACCTTCTATTGCTTTAACTTTTTATAAAAACAGGCCATGTTAAATGTAAACCGTTAATTGGCTAATAGTCAACTCATATTGTTTGCATGACATTTTTACATGAGTTTAATTGTTAACATGCCATATATTACGTTATTATTTTGATGATGCGACACACATGACATTATTCATTGTACAAATATAAAAATATCATATCAACAATATGAGTTAATCGTTAGTCAACTAACTATTTATATCCAATAAATTTTATTTTGACCATAAATCAAAACATTGAGAGTAAAACACTTCAATAAAATATAAGACAAAATGATCATTTATACTAACATTAATATTATTATTT